GAGAGAGAGAGAGAGAGAGAGAGAGAGAGAGAGAGAATCTATACACTGTTGATTAAATAAATAATTAACGCATAAAAAATATAATATAATAAACTCACGAAATAATAACTAATACTATTCTCAATATGTTTGAACAATAACAATGTTTATAAATCCCACGGACTTTTAAAGGTATCTGTGAATAGCTAAGCCCGTGCAAATGAGTCTGTGATGTTCAAAAGCAGCAGAATGCATCGAATGCGAAACTGGTTTAAAACATAGAACAGAGAAGCTTAGACCTAAATGGTACGTGGAAAGTATGTTAATTATATGTATGTAATGTTTACCATATGATATACAATCACGACCCGGAGGCGAATCTCCTTTGGGAGATTTTTAATTCATATGCTAATTAGATACAACCACTAGTGTTGTAGCAGAACAGTATACATCCACCAGTGGTTGTATCTAATCAGCATTTTCATTGTAAGGTTTGTATCGGGTTTACATGATATGCATGTGACTTGATTTCTAAAGCTGGATTGGCTTCGACTCATTTGTTATTCATGAATTTTACAATTAGTGATACAACTCCTCGAATGTTCATAAATTGCTGCAAAGACGGAAAGCATTGAGACTTTTTACAGTAAGGACACTCAAACCGTGAACACGTCGATTTTTTTTTTTCCCAGGTCCTGAACTTTCTACATTTTCAAACGCTCTAAATTGAAGCATTGAGTAGAAATGCACCGAGTGAGGAAAATAATTGTTATTTCCAAACAATTGGCACAAGGGATGATTTACATTAACGCTTCGAGTGTCCGTACTATAACAAATGTTTCATACGTCTGTGTATCTCAAATGAATAAATCAGAGGACAATAATGTCATTTACCAGCATACACTTTATCTCAGTTTCTAATGTTCTATGTTTTCAACCCGAAAATGATTTAATTCCTTTTGTTTCGAAGTCAATGGGTCTGAATCCTGCCAGAACTAATTTGTATATGTAATAGGACTCCATGCTGTCCAATTAAGGTTAACGGTTAACGTGGAAAAATCTTGGTTTATTGATACGCGGGTTTTTACTGTATACTAAAACAATTATTTTGATCAACCTAGGGGGCTTTGCAATCAAAATTTCAAAAATCTCTAATTAAATTATATTCTTTATTTTGTTATTTTTATGTGACAAAGATTTTGCAATTAGTATATGTAATAGGACTCCATGCTGTCCAATTAAGAGATAACTGGACGAGGAAAATTCCGAAGACTGACAAAATAGGATGAGGCCATAGGACGAGTCCAATTTGGCAGTCAGAGGAATTTTTCGAGTCTAATTATTTCTTGATTGGGGAGCATGAAATACCATTACATATCAATTATATAGCTGCCTAATTAATCCCATATCAACAAGACCTGTCCAATTAAGAAAATAATTGGACGGTTACCTATATGGGATTAATGAGAAGCTGTATAATCATATTAATGACTAGCTTACAAGCCAAAAATTCTCTACCTTTGCTCTCGCTAGTGCACGTGTCCCTCATGATCTCTTGTGTCATGGCATAGGCAAGGGTGTACAACTAGGGTGGAGATTAGTGGATTTTCCAGGATCGGACGATTCTCTCGCTTTTTAATTTCACAAAGGGTTTAAAGAAATATTAATTATATTTGATTGTCACTCACAGAGTGAGGAGAAATTCAAGTYCATCGAACATCCCAGGAGATAAATAAGACAAACTGTTATCACCAATTTTGCTGTAAAAAATAAAGGATATGTATAATCAGCATAATTTTAGACTTGACTATAGAGTTTCGCGCGTTCTGATTGGTTGAGCGACTGTGATTCTGAGACCATAATCACTGCTCGAGCGGTGATTATGAGGTTTCCCAGTTTGCCAAAGTGGGACTAATACCAAAAAGTGTATTTTGAATTTCGTCTTTCCTCTGATATTTGAGTCTAAAATTATACTAAAACAATTATTTCCCTCGGTCTCAATGATTATGACTCGCGGCTCGGTAAATATTCCACCAAATAATTGTTAACCATAATGACTCTATCCTGAAATCATCGCAAAGTTTCTTTCAGGGCTCGATAAATATTTTAGTTTATTATATAATTACCATTGAAATATCTATTTTTCTCTATTTCGAAAAATTGATATCTTCACACGTGAAAATAACATGTTATTTCACGTGTGAAAATAACACCATTGCGATGGCTATTCAAAAATACACGGAAAGAATTGCCTGAAAAAGCCAAAACATACTTTCATTGATAATTATATAATAAACAGAATATTATATGGGCGCTTGGAGATACGAAATTTATCTTCTCGTGTTAAAAATCTCTCACTCGTTCGCTGCGCTCACTTGTGAGAGATCTTTTCAACACTCGAAGATAAATTTCGTATCTCCAAGCGCCCATGTAATATCCTCTATATATTATGATATGTGTTTAATAAGATAGCAAAAAAGTGCCAACTCATTGCCGACATTTATTTCGCCTGACGAGGTTGTTTTATTCAAAAGTGTATAGTTTGTCGTAAATTAAAACTTTCAACAAAGTGAGTTAAGCTTACCTAAATTTTGATTAATTAAACATTAACAGTGTTTAATTAAAGGGATGTTCTAAGAGAGGGTATGGAAGTAAAACTTAGGAGAAAATACCTTGCGAAAAGCTAGATGAAGTCCCGAATTTTTTTCACCGAAGCAACCGTTTTAAAAGTGGTGAAAACTATGGCCGGGTAAACCTGTTATRACTTATACATGGATAGATAATCTTAATTTTGTGTTACTTGCAGCGTTTGAAAAAACTGAGGGCCTTCGAACGAGCCGTTTTCAAGAACGGATATTTTATTTTTACGAAGGTTCCTATAAACAAATGGCATTGGTTATTTATTTCTGTTTTTTCGTTTTTTTTTTAACTCTTGTTATCTTACGCGGTCATAGCCAGGGTTGCTTACCATTGACCAGGAAAAACCGGAAATTCCGGTTGAGAGACAAATGATATGTATCATTCCGATCGGAAAGTTCCGGAAAAATCGGTCTTCCGATTGAGAATATCAACTTTTCCCGTTTTTTTCGGTTCTTCAGGTAGACGCGTGTACCATTTTTCGAAAGTGAAAGTTTCACGCTCTTTACTTACAATTACCGAATGAATTTCCAACTGACTATGGACTGGTTTAAGGTAAGCACCCCAGGTTTCCTTCACATTTGAGCCCGTTATGCACAGCGGATATTGACAGAGCAATGTAAATGATGAACTAAAGTCAGAAACTCATAACGTGGTTGAAACGTGTAACACTACAACCATACCATGCTCTGGAATATTCAGATATGCAAATTAGGAGTTTTGACACCATATTTGGAATCATAAGTTTGGTTTCAAGATGGTCGCTTCTCTCACATATCAGTTAAACGTTTTGCTGAATTCAGGGGCGGCGGAAGCTTAAAATCTTTGGGGGGGGGGGGGCACTGAAGATTATATTCAATGCTATGTGATAATGACAATGTTTTGTTTGATTGCAGACGCATGCGCCGTAAAACAATGACTAAGAACCAATATTTGGGGGGGGGGGGGGGGGGCCCTTCCAAAACATTTGGTGTGGGGGCACGTGCCCCCTCGGCCCCCCCGGTTCCGCCGCCCCTGGAATTTCCTGACTTTCAGAGGAGATTCACTAAATCTTTTAATCAAGCATTAGGAATATCTCAATTAAATTTAGTTTTTCAAAAAACTCGGAACTCCATTCAAAATTTGAATTCTGATTGGATAAGTCCATATAAGGAATCAGAACTAAAGTTTTGAATCGGTTATTATTTCGACTCCCGAGTCTTCGTAGTTCTCGGGAAGAATAATAAATTCTAATACTCGCGTAGAAACCATTAATGAAGCCTAGGGGGTAAGCTAGCGCTTGAGCCGTTTTGACTGTAATAAACTGGGCAGTAGCTTAAAACAATTAGCAATTAATTTAAAATAATAACATTTCCCAAACTATGCTTACAGACTAACAAGAGATTTCAGTTTCCTAAAGATCCCACGATCTATTTTCCGCAACTCATTGAAGGAAAGGTCACTGCCGAGGAATTCGAAATTTTAAATAATATTGTAATCTAGTCATTTGATTTACCCTTAAAAAGCTAGCGTCATATTATGAGATATTTCAATTAATGGGAAAGGGAAGTTTACTATCAAATTTGTTACATCGACAATTGCAACGTTTCTTAAAGATTGCCTTTAAAATGATGAAGTTATGAAATTTTCAAGTGAAACTAAGAATCCTGGCATTTTTGCAAATGAATTTGTGTCTAGCCTGTTAACGAGGCTGTTAACGCATGCAATGCAAATGTTTAGTTTCAAAAATTAATATCTTTGTTATTTTAAGGGCAATCTTTACGAAACTTATGGCTTTGATTGGTATAACATGAAATGTCTCACCCAGACACTTATATTTTTTAGTATGCAAATTAATAAACTAACAATAAATTGTGCTTGGAGGGGGTTTCCTCAAGTTTCTTTTTTTCATTCATCAACAAAAATCAACATGTGGGTTCTAAATCTACCTATCGGCTGCCTTATCAAGTGGGTTACAAACCCTGTTAGGCTTGTCATCCACCATGCAATGGGAAATCCGATTATAATTTTTAGATTTGCTGTATTTTTAGTGTAGTTGTATGAAACATATGAGGAAAAATGTACACACAGCCATTTGGTTTGCAGTGGAATGCCTTCAGGCACCGAGGATATGCTGCTACATTTGACAGAAAGGCCATATAGCGGAGAATTCTCACATGTGCAGTTGATGGAACAAACTGTTAATGGAGGATAGTATATATCAATATAAACCCTACATGAAAGTTGATTGTCATCCATCCTTCCATCTATCCATCCATCCATCCCTCCCTCCCTC